GTGCAACACTCCAAAAACATTTAAATGAGCTGCTGTGTGGAGAACCACAGCACCCTTACAGCTCGTTAAATGTGTGTGCCTCTGTGAAGTCTGACATGTTTGACTTAGGTCTGCTGACGGAAAACAGCTGATATCACTCAACCGGTTGACGTGAGTTGCACTGCTGCCACCTGTCTGTACAAACTGCTCAGCAGCAGCAGATGTCCAGATAAAGCAGCATCCTCCCCCCTGCTCTGTGCAGCGGCTGCAGAACAGCTCGGGCACATTAATGGAGGGTTGTTTCTCACAGTTCAAAATTGACAAATCTAGAATAAATCTCATCTTTCTGGTTTGTTAGGACCAGGGAGTGACGAGAGAGGAACCCTGCGTTTTCCTCTCCTTCTGAGACTCTAGAAATTACATTTAAATCAGAATTTCTTGAGCTTCTGCGAGAGGGGACGAGATCTGTTCTAGAAATGACAGAAAACGTCATTAGAGTTCCTCCGCACCGGGGTTTGAGCTGTACTGCAGCGTGAATCCCCGGATGAAAACGGTTTGCCTATCCGTCTGGAGCGCGTACTCATTGCAACTTGTTTATAAAGCGGGCACGCGTGTATGCTGTGAACTCATATGCATGCTGATGTGAGCTGGTGTGTGCTGAAGGAGAAAGAAAAAACGTGCGCCCCCGAGCATGCAAATCGTTTGTGCGTTTGCTGATGCTGCGGAACGCAGTTCATCTGTGTTGTGCTCACGTTGTGTGCAGCTGCTCTGTGTAAGCGCTCGGGGAGCAGGTGCACGTATGAGCCAACGTGCCCTGAAGAGTCGTGTGTGCACGCCCTCATTCATGTGACGCCTTAAGCGAGGATTGCCGCGGGAGCGTGTGTTTGACACTGGTGCAGTCAGGAAGCAGTGCGCGGCATCGGTGGGGCGAGTTTACCACTGGGCTCGTTCTGCAGAACACGTTCATTCTTGGCTGCGAATCACGTGAGCTTTTGAATGATTCCACGAGCTGCAGTATTAATTCAGAAAACCTTCTTCGAGGATGAAGGAGCAGAGCCACTGTGAGGCTTGTGAAACTGTTGACGCCGCAAGAGTGCGCGTTTGATACCACTGCGATGAAAACGCATGTCGCTCCTGCCGAGAGCGAGATACGTTACTGGGCTTGTACCGCGGTCTCACGTTTACGTTGACGTGAACGGCGGGCACTGAGAGCTGCGTGTGCGCTTTCATAACGCAGTGCCTTATAGGTGAAGGCTGCTCGTGCCGCGAGAGCGCGTGTTGGCACCACCGGCAGTGAATGAAACAACCTTAAAAGACTCATTCGTGACGAGTGTGTGTGATGGGGCGGCTTGTCAGATCATCTGTGCTGACAGCCTGGCTAAAAGACACTTCATCATAAAATGATGTTTATTTCCACATCGTGTCATCAACACACATCTAGCAAACCAACATTTGGTTATCTTCCCCTAAGCTCCGTGGTTTGTTGTCCTAGAGGGCCCCCTGTTGGCATAGTCAGGGAAAAATTAAACTTCTGGATGCCGGGGACGTCTGACGGGAGGGACTGACGTAGCAGAGCTGGGGAGGCGTTGTGCAGCCGTGGAGCATCTTGAAATGATCTCTCGCTGATGAAAGGCCCTCCAACCAAAAACTTCTGCAGCTCTCCTGAGAGGAAGGTGGAGTGACGAGCCAGGAGAACCTCTGGGACCTCGTTCTCTGGCTGCGATGCGGGCTGGCAGACAGCAAAAGAGGTGCACCGGTTAAGGATGACGTCAGCTGCCCTGCAGACGAAGCGTACTGCAGGGGCCGACAGCGCCGTTGGCAAGCAGCCTCGACGAGAGCAAAGCTAGCCGAAGGTCAGAGGGCCCACCGTCTCTTCCCGCCTTTGAACGTGTACGCCAACAGCGTAACGTGTTGTTCACTGCGGCCGTCTGGAATGTATGCTGGTGAGCTCAGTTGGAGAGCGGTGTCACCGTCTGGGTTACGCTAACCGGAGGCACGGGACGCTGGTCCACCTGGACATCTTGCTCCGATGAAGCTTCCGTCAGGCTCGGCTCCAGGGGGCACTGAGGGAATTTCCGCTCTGTGAACCCCTGCTCTAGAGATGGGCGCGGACTGTAGAGACCGCCCCCCCAATCTACCAGGAAAGCCGGCTGTGGCCTCGCCCGTAGGACGTCCTGTTGGGAAACCGAGGCCAGATGGATCAGGACGGTGAGCCGGAATGGATCTTAGAAAAAAAAAACCTTCCCGCTGGATCATCCGAACTGGCAGGATTGGCGCGGGATGTAAAAAAGGGTCCCTTCATGCCAGCGGCTCCTGGATTACGCCGGGCAACCCCAGAGGGTGCCGTCGGCTGGGAGCGGTGTGATCGCCGATGCGAAATGAGGTGGGATGAGGTGAGCATTCGCTCAGCCCCCCTCCACCGACACTACACTCTCCAGGAGGGAATGAGCAGCAGGGGGCTGCAGCTGACGTGGCTTGTCCCGGAGGAACCATCCGATTTGCTCCGAGGGTCGCGATAAGAGGAAAATTACAAGATGGCGTTGTCCAGCGTGTAGCGACCTGTCACTGAGAAATACTCCTCGGCGCTTACCTTGAAACAAGACCGCTCGTCAGCTTCTCCTCGGGGAGGAGAGCTCACCGGGATGACCGGAGGTCGACGTGACGGGCCAAGCATTCTTAACAAAGGTTGATCATCTACAAAATGTTCCTTCTTCTGACAGTGCCGTTAGCTTGCTGAAGAAAAAATGGGAGCCGATTACCCGCTCTTAACTTAATTTATACGGACCGGGTGGGGCCCACACAGCAGGTGGGTGTGGACTAAATATTTCAGTGCAATGCTTCGCATATCGGGATAAACCCATCAGCGACAGCCTTAAAGGGCGAAGCCTATACAAAATAGAAGTGGCAAAAGGTTGAAAAGTTCAAGGGGGCCGAATACTTTCACAAGACACTGTATATGTATGTATATATAAGTATATATATATCGTCCTCCAATGCGCGAGTTGGGGGTTCAAATCCACCATCAGTCACATGCTGAAGTGTCCCTGGGCAAGACACTGAACCCCTCATAGCCTCTGATGTGTTTTGAATGAATGAATGAATGAATGAATGAATGAATGAATGGGTACATGTGTCGTCCACCTTTTCACTCACTGTTGGTACTGGAGTCAGGCTCCTCAGTGTCTTCTACTACCTCGACTGGCTGGATTGTTGCTCCCACTGATTACACTCCCTTATAAGGTATCATAACCATCTGTACTGACACTTTAATCTTCCGGGTGTAGTCAGGTCTTATGGGAGTGTCTATTCAATGTGCCAAGGTTCCAAGAATCTGGAACATGCCATGCCATTCCCAATCTTCAGAGGTCACGAGGTACTCTTCTGTTTTTTTGCTTGGGTCTTGCTCCCTTGGCCTCCTATATATCCAAACTCATTGTATAATAATACAAATTTGTGTTTCGTCATCATTCCTTCCAAAGAACATCAGGCAGGTCCACTAATGGAAAGTTCTGATTTTGTATTACATCGGCTATCATCTGAGCCTATGTTATCAATTCCCAGGGACTTAGCCATCTATTTCTCTTTGCCTTCTCCTTGTTCTCATCAGGCAACAACTCCATCCCATTCTCGATACACTTTAAGGACCATTGGGTACTGGGTGGTACTAATGGGTGGACACCTCACCTTGACTAGTGAAGGGTCGTAGGGCCAATACAGTAATATTACTCCTTCCAATTGGTTGTGAGGGTTCCAAGTAGAGGATGACACAGGAGTAGATTTTCACTCCTGTCCTGTCCTGGTCCAACAGAAAAAAATCCTGTCCTGTCCCAATCCTGGTCCAGAGTAAAAAAATTAATCCTGTCCTGTCCTGCTCCTGGTAACATGACTCCTGCTCCTGTCCTGCTCCTGGTCAGAATCACTCCCACTCCTGTCCTGCTCCTGTTTTTTTTCCCTCTTCATTTAATTTTTAAGAAATGCATTGAATTTGAATTGATTTTCTAACCATTCCTTTTTAAATTACTTTGTGTTCTGCAGTTTGATTTCAAAAGATATGACAGTAAGAGTTAATCTGTGGTGAAATATGGAGGCATTTATTGCCTTAATTCAAACAAAAACCTTGACTAAAGGTCACAAAACAAATCCATGGCCTGTAGTCCTTATAGTTTTTCTACAGAGGATTAGCTGCTGAGTCCCTGTTTCTGGCTTTTTTGAAGGTCAGTTACAGTAAAAACAAAAAATGAAAACCAGTACATGGGTCACACCATGTCTACCTTAGATGAAAGAACCCAAACAGAACAAATAGAAGTTGCTTTTTACTAATTTATTGAGCAATTGTTTCCTTCCCTTTAGACAGTAACGTTCCTGTCATGGTTTAAATTGCTTAAATAAAAAACTAAACAAAAAAATTGCACCAAACAAACTGTCATCAATGAACAAAACTGCATAAAGGCATTACATTCATATTGTACCTGAGTTTTTGAAAAAGGAAAAAAAATGTGCATATAATGCAAATACTAAATAAAAATACAACTGCCATATATATATATGGTGGTTGACTGGTGCAAATGTGCTGCAAACAACTAAACAAACAGTAATACTACAGTGGCCAACAAATGTAAACTGCTAACATGCTGCAAACAGTCAGCTACTGCACACACAGCTAACAGTTAAAAAGCATTGCAAACGCATAAATGATGCAAACTCTAAAACAACAACAAAAACAAAACAAATGCAACAGAAAAATGCAGCGAAAGAAAAAAACCTGCAATTACAGAAAATAAAACATACAACCCAAAAAACGAATGCAAAGGAAAATGCTGAAAAGTACTCTACTCAGTGCACATTAAACTCATAAAATAAGCCAACTTTGGGCCAGTTGCCACTCAGCTGTAATGTATTTGCAGGGTTCTGTTGACCAGACCAGCAGATGTTTTGGTGTTATTTGTATTTGAAGCATTTTTCCTTTGCATTTTTTTTTTGATTGTGTGTCATCTATTTTCTGTGACTGCAGATTTTTGTTTTGTTGCATTTGTTTTTTTGTTTTGGAATTTGATTCATTCCTGTGTTTGCAGCACGTTTTAACTGTTTGCTGTGTGTCTGTCAGCCACCGTGCATATCAGTCTACTTTCCCACTCTTCAGCACATATGAATAGTTGTCATTATAAGTTGCTATGTAGGAACAAAAGTTCATCTACATTTTCTGGATTGAGGGTGGAACGCCTCTCCTCAATCAGTCTCCCAGCAACACTGAAACTACGCTCAGAAGGAGTGCTTGTTGCTGGGATTGCTAGCAGCCTCTTGGCAACTGGCACTAGCCCATCAGACCTCTCATGCCAGAAGTTGAGCAGAGACTGGAAGCCTGTCAACTTAGAGTCACTCATGTACTGTACCACGAACTGGCGGCCCCATGACTCTGAAATACCACCACTGTCCCCTCCTGTTGCTGCTTTTCAACACAAAAGGAAAAGAAGTCGTGCACCTCTGTGGGACTGGGAACTGCCTCTCGGGGTGGACCTTTGGAGAAAAAAAAAAAAAAAAAAAGAGATTCTTATAGAACATTACCTGTATTGGACATTACCTATTAGATTATACAGACGTGTGTGTGAATGAATGCCTCTAAATAAATGATAGGAAGAAATGTTGTTATTACATTTTAGAATTGCTGTGGGTGCTCTGTTGATGCTAGTTTTACTCACCCTGTTTCTTCTCAAGGCTTCTCGCTCTCTCCTCTGTCCCTGCTGTTTCTGTGAGTGCTGCCAGGCTGTTGATGACCTCCTCATACTCCTGACCAGAGAGCGTTTTCCTCAAGAAACTCCTCAGGCTAGGAGAGAGAGCTGTGGCTAGCTTATGGTACAGGTGGATTTTGAATTTCAACTCCACTGCCTGGGCCAACTTCTCTTTCAGCTAGAGGAGGAGTGAAACCACATGATGACACATGCAATGATATGATAATGATGTATGCAACATCATTATTACGGGACATAAAAAATTCTCAGGCGGACAGGCACTGTGCTTTATTATAGGCGTGGAGGAGTTTTAAATTTATTTCAAATTTAACTTGTACAATGTTTCTTTTGGAAAACATCAGACTCAGTTCTGTTCTTGCCTTTATCACTGTTACTGAATAGGGCCAAACTCTTGATAGCTTCTTGAATGATCAAACTAAACAATAAAAATAAACAAAGTATTAAATTACCTCTTTCACAATTGCACTATCTCCATCCTGGATCAACAAACCCTGCAGCAGGGTTGCCTTGGTTGGGAGGACGAGGTGAAGAGTAGGTGCCTGATGGATGGAGAGGTGCCTGGTAGCCTCATCAAAAGGTTTCAGGAGCTGGATGACGTCCTCAAGAAGGTCACAGTCTATGTTGTTGAGGTAACGGAGCTCGCTTCTGCGAAGCAGGATGTCGTGCAGCTTACCAGACTTGAGAGCATCATTTATTGACTGGAGCATGGCAAGTCTGGTGTTCCACCTCGTCTCCACAGCTTCAGTGACTGGTCCAGTGCTTTTTGTAACCTAAAATTGAAAGAAGACCGTGCACAAGTCAAAATAGGGTTACAGGGACTATAAAAATTGCAATTTATTGGCCTTTCTTTTGGAAAAAATATTTTATTAAAAAGAAGAGCTTTACAACTGAAACTAAGTCAAGAAAATGTGACCTTTGCAGTTATAAATTACAGTACCTCAGTTTTTCTTTATTTATTTCACTTATCATATTTTATGATTATTTAAGCAGCCTCACCAGGCAGAGATTACAAGATTTGATGTATCTTACCCTGCCCTTTTGAAATGTGTGACCAGGGTCTTTGCGTCCTTAAACAGCTTGATGACGCTGCTGTGTACTGGGTTGTCCTCATCCAAGTGGTCAAATACGTGTTTTAACATCAAGTTGATATTATGGAGAGTCGCACATAATCCTTGAAAGCAGCGATCATGTTTGAGCCATTATCTGTCACAAACACAGTGTGCTTGCTCAGGATGCCAAATTCCTGTTAGGTAAAAAAACAAAACAAAGACAAACCAAAAACTTAGCAAATAAGAAGACCAGACATATGATAATCATAAAACAGATTGATCAACAGTCATGTAATTGTACGAAGCACTTTTCAATAAATTTATAGTACTACATTAGGACAAAACATATTACACATATTACACATGTGTTGTGTATTAAATGAAGGAAAACTCCATCTGCAATTAAGGTAAAATACTATGGTAATCTGCCTAAGTTGCTGCCTACCACGGCACAGACTGATGTACAGCGAAGGACCGTGACACACGCTTACTGATGCACTTAGTTATATTCCAGGTTAGTCTGCTCCTGCAACCTGGAACACCTTTCAGCAGGAACTGAAGTTGTCCACCTTAATTTATTGTGAGGGGTTTTAAACATTTCTTAATGTCAATAGAAATCTCAAAGCAAATATATTCTTGTTTTTAGTATTTTACATTTTTTATGGCACATTGATTTATTGTTTTAGACACTACTTTTATTTTAACTGTATTTTTACAGCATTTTTACTGTAGTTTATCGTTATTATTGTTCACTGTTATTGTTGTCTGTACTTTATATGTTCTGTCTGTCTGGATTGGAACAGGTCTCTTGAAAACGAGTCCTCGTGACTCAATGAGGTTAGCCTGTAAAGGTTGAATGAAAAATATATATATTTGTCTTTTCTATTGTTCCTTCTGTGACATGTTCTTGTTATTGCTGCACCATGTTCTCATACTTTTCCCAATTTTACGAATTAATTGGCAATATTTATTGCATATGGACTGTACTTATATAGCGCCTTTGTCTTATTTCAAGACACTCAAAGCGCTTTACACTACAATCTGTGCCTCATTTACCCATTCATACAGCTCTATACTAGACCTCTACAAAGCTAATATGCCATGTAAATAAAGATAATTATCTCATTTGAGTGTGAGATACCTGAAGGATTTTCTCCACAGTCCCTCTGATGTGTTCATTAGATTTGACACCCTCCATCTCCCTTGTGGCCAGAATACGGTTCACCATCTTCCCATCCAAGATGTAATGGACTGTAACGGTGATGTAGTGTGTGTTTGTCCTCTCCTCTGTCCAAAGGTCTGTCGTGATTGCATGGTCTCTAGTCTGAACCAAAGGAATTACGTATATTGTTATTAGCTCTCAAAGTATATTACATGTAAAACAGATGACTAATTTATAGTTGAGAGATTAAGCAGTTTAAAAGGAGGAGAAAAAACAGATTTAGTGTTAGGAAATCTATAATTAGACTACTGCATGATGTCAAGGTAAAATGTTTGTACTGTATTATAAAATAGAGCAGCGTGACAGACATACCTGATGGAGCTCTTCCATGACCATTTTTTTAATTTGATCATATTCTCCTTGAACATGACGGGAGACCGTGCGTCCACATGGCAGTATGTCTTGTGCCTCAGCGTTGTTTCCATACTTTGCTCCGATGTCGATTGCCTCCTGTATGACGTCGATGAAACCTTTCCCATCTACTACAGCAAATGGTCTCAAATCTACGCCACACATGCGGGCTATTTTGTTGGTCATACGAGACTTGACTCCCGACGGTACTTTCCGTTTAATGAATGAAGAAATGCTTGGCTGATTCGTTCCGAATATAGCCTTGCAAGTGTGCCTCTTCAGACCGCTCGTCCCCGAGTCAGTGGCGTACTTTATTATAACTGAGCATGTTTTGCAAGCAGCGTAGAGCGTCTTCACACCGTCACACTCGACTCTCATAAAGTTCTGAACTATTAGCGCCTTCCCTGACAGTTCTGTTAACCTAACAGATGCGTCATTATTCCTAACTTTGCGTTGCAAAATATTTTTTACCCTCTCGGTTTCTCCGCTGGCGTATGCTCCCTCCATGATGTTGGTTGATACAGTAAACAAAGGTTGGAAAAGGCGGCCGGAAGCTGTTGGCGCAGCCGCCTGTCTGAAATTTATTATTATTTTTTTTTTGCCTATTTCTTTTTTTGTCCTATGTTGGCTCCCGCTCCCGTCTGCTCCCGTTAAGTTTTCGTCCTGTCCGGTCCCGATAACGGGAGTTATAATAAAGTTGACTCCGGTCCCGCCGGAATCCGGCCGGATTCACGTGACCGGCAGTACTCCCGAAAAAATGTCATCCTCTAGTTCCAAGACATTCCTCCTCATTGGCTGGAGTTCCCTCATCGGTTCTACTTAGTCCTAGATACAGGGGTGGTACAGAGGCTTGTATGTTTGGTCTAATGTCACATTCTTGTTTTTTGGGAAGGGTCCAAGGGGTCTCAAACCTATCTCAAGCCTAAAGCCCTTGAGGGGGCCATAAAATTTTATAACCTGCCAACCTGTTGCTCCTTTTGCAAGGAGTAGGCCACCCTCCTGCATCTTGCTACTGCAATTCACACAGTACTTGAGAAAAGCACCATCCCACAGACTGGTTAAATCTGCTGGCTCGATCTCTCAAAAGTCCCACTGAGTGATCATGGCCATCCAGGGTAGAGCCTCATCTTTACACTTCCCACAGATGTATGCATCCATCAACTTCACGGGCATGATCATCATCCTTCATAACTGTCTTACTCACATGTGAATGAAGAGGATTTGCTTACCCCTCTCCTTCCTAACGAACCTTGAGGCCACTGGGAAGTGAACAGATTGTACAACTGTTCTTAAGCTCTGTCCACTCACGTGTTTCTCTTTCTGCTGACAGGAATCCTTTTTTTGCATAATCCAAAGTCTTCATGGCTCTTCCTGCCCAGAGTACTGAGGTTGTTCTTCTTAGTACTATCACTCCATAAACAGTGGCCATTCTGACGTAGGGCAGCATGGTGCTTTGTTCGCTGGCCATTAATCCGGTTTCTGGTTTATCTTAGTTAAGAATAGGTTTCAGGTGTTCCACTCCTTGGATCTCATTCTTCTTGATCTTGACTTTGTTCTTGTCTAACACTTGTTCCACTCTGTCTAGTGGTGTCTAGCAAGCATAATGGTGCCATACCTAGATTTCACTACTGCTGATATAGCATGATCATGTGTCTTCTTTACCCACATCCTCTGCCCTACCCTGAATGGGCTATCCTGGTCCAGCTGTCCTTCCCTGCTCTTGGAGTCCTGGAGACCACTGAGTCCACCAGTACTAGAAGATACTATTCCCTTTCTTCCCAGTGACTCTCATGGGTCCTGTAACATCCATGCACACAGAGCCACATGCTATGGTACTCTTAATGGTTTTATCCCTCTGCTCAGTGTCTTTGGCATCCTGCATTGCATTGACCACACATTTTACAGTCCTGAATCACCTCACTGACTTGTTTCACTGAGATCCAGAGCTTCTGAGCATCCAGTTTTCTACATGCATGCCACAGTATCTTGCAAGCACCACTAAATATTTCTCTTCTTGGGGAAACTTTTTCTCTACCGAGATCAATGTGTAACTCCAGAGAGTCACAAGTTTTTTGTTGCTCACTTTTATCATTGAATTGTCATTTTCACAACTAATTTCATCTACCAACCTTGCCATCAGGCTCCTAGGTTCCAATTTTACTGCTTTTTGGATATTTCCTTGGAGTTTTTCCAAGTCCTCTTGATTTGTTGTTGTCCAATCCATGTCTTTTGTTGCTTTTTCTAGTCCCTCTTTATTGCGGGGGTTTGATTCCGAACATACATACATACATACATACATACATACATATATAAATAGATCGGTATATGTGTATAAACTGGACATCCCAAATATTTGCAGAAACTATGCTTTCAAGTTTTTATCTTCCT